ATAATATTGGATGCTCAACGGGGGACGTATGTGTTGGATGTGGTTACCGAACCTCCGGGACTTAGGTCGAAACATATCGATTGTGTTTTTTAAATTCTTCACTTTATTTTCAGTAAACAAACTTTATACTTTCTGTTCTTGATTTAATATCGTGTATCCTGGCCCAACAGTATTATTGGAGTGGCTTTGTTTTCCTACTTGAAGATCTAGCGGGAATTTCCATTAGCTACGAATATAACTAATATCTTCGTGCATTATCTCTTGTGAATGGATTTAGTTATTAAGACTAAAACTAGAACTATAACATGCACCACTAGGAAAATCAAATTGGAGTTGAGCTTGGTTAGTTTTAAAACATCCGTATTAATTATATTTTTTTTAGTCTCTATTTAGATTGATCGTGTCAATAACCTTTTGACAAACTAACCTTTCTTTTCATTATTTACCTTGTGCTTTGTGCTCTAACATTTTGTTTAATATTGTACTCATGACCACCAATTTGAAATGTTCCCAAAACTTAGCGGTTTATTTTTTCGTTTGCCATTTAGTGTTTGAGTATATTGCTATCGTTTCATCTTCTTCAGGATCATCTAAATCAATTAGATTTGTACTCCCATGGTCCGGCCAAATTATCAAAAATTGGAACATCATTTAGACCACTAAATTGATCTAATGGAGGAATTGTTTAAGGTGTGTTGAAAGTACCAAAGATTTGGTTAAAGTGACCAGTTCCCAATAATCAGTTATATTCCATTCAGAATTGTTAGAAAATATAGATCATAGGTCGCCATCATTTTAAGTAAGCATTTGAACTTGGATCAAATTAATATTCTCATAGAGAATCAAGGATAGAAATAAAAGGATGTGAAGTTGTGAATAGCACTTCTCAACGTTTTTTTCTATTATTTGTCACTATTACTGTTAAGTGACAAAATTTCATACCGAATAAAGATGAAAATATAAATCAATTTTTAAGGGTTTCAATTACTCCTCATGATAAAGTTGATCTTTTAAAATAAAACCTCTAGTCTTAATATAATATTAGAGCCAATTGAACTGCAACGAGTGATTCGATCTCATTAAAACTCAAAAAAATGAGCATGCAAATTTCAAGATTTGTTTGATCAACTGAGCCACCATCTTGCGGGGCATGTTAAGGGATAAAATCTCACATCAAATTAAGATGAAAACATAGATCAATTTATAAGAATTTGGACTACTCCTCTTAATAAGGTTGGCATTTTAAAATAAAATATCAAATCTTAACATGGTATTAGAGTTCATTAAGACTCAAAAAAGAGCACACCAATTTCAAAATTCATTAGTTTAAATAAGCTATCATCATACGAGACATGTTAAGGGATAAAATTTCACATCGAATAAAGATAAAATATAGACCTACTAATAAGAGTTTGTGTTATTCCTCTCAATAAGGTTGACTCCTTAAAATTGAATCCCAAAATTTAATAAGAAATATGCTATTTATACATAATGCGGTGTTCATAACGATGTCCACTTCCTCACATGGAGGGGGCCCACTACAAATAAAATATAGTACATTCGAAGTGGGCCCCTCCATGTGAGGGGATGAACACCGTTGTAGGCACCACATTATGTACGTGTAGCATAACCCTTTTAATAATTACGACCACAATAATGAACAATACTACTAATTTTCTTCTTTAGGTCAAGCACATGCATAGAACCCAATAACAATGTTTCTGTTTTGAGAAAAAATGGTATCTTTTGACAACAAATGACATTGAGGATGTGTTTGAGCCACATTATTTTGGAAGAATGTATTATGAAATAGTAGATTTATGAAAAATTTGTGGTTCAAAAAGAATGA